CTAGTGGGCAGTGAGGTGTTAATGTTCCTCTGTGTCGAGTTTCTTCACTCGTGTTTTGGTTTTCCTGAACATTTCCTGAAACTCACTGGCTCAAACTCGTTCATTTTGAGGCAGGAACCGGCGGACGTGCAACAACTTTAACTATGAGGTAAACACAAAACAAAACTTTCCATCCGGAGATCCTTCATGGGACTCCACACTTGTAAACAATCCCTCCATCGGGCTCGCGCCATTGGCGCGGCTCTCGGTCCTGCCCAGACTCGTCAGCGCTACCAAGCCAACCAATCACAGAGCTTGCACTACGTGTCGTTGCGACATGTAGTTACATTTTTTGAGAGGTGCACGTCAGCGACGGCCACGGCGTAGGGCTATGCGTCAACACCATAGCATATGCATGCGTTTGACGCAAAAGTATAAATCAGCCTTTACTCTGGCATGTTTTATGTGTTGGATGACCTTTCAGCTGCAACCCAATATTGAGAATACACTTGTGAACCCCCAGTGCTAGGCAACACCCATACATTCTCTCATTCCCACTTACTCATACTCTACTTTCTTCAATTTACCTATACCACATGTCTTTGGACTTTGGGGGAAACCGAAAGACCTAGAGGAAACACAGGGAGAACATGCAAACTTCTCACAGAAATGCCAACTGGCCAAGCTGTGACTCGAACCAGCAACCTTCTAGCTACAGTGATAACTACTAATCTGGAAGTAAATCAACATAGCTAGTGAAATAAGTCTCAGCAACATTTGTTTCAGTACAGATTATTAAAATGCAGCATGGTCTGATTTGTGGTCTGGCAATGAAGAGTCATTTGTCCCCCTGAGGAGAAAATCTCCCCATGTCCCCCAATTAGGTGTGATTCAGTCTTTAGGGGAACGATGTGGAAACTTACATCTAAGTTCTTGTCACTGGAAAGGAAAGATCAGGTATACGCCCTCAGATATCACACAGATACTCCTGCAGAAACTGAAACTGGTGGGATGCCATCAAACCCTTTTTTAATTTTGATTGTTGTGGGATTCCCCATGTGTGATGACTGTGTGAATTTTCAATCACAAACATTTAGATAGCGCTGCACTTTCACAATCTATCTCTGAACACACTGCTCCCTCAAGTGGTTGTTCGTTGTCAGTATTATCCTCTCTGATTACTGTAAAGGGTTACTTTACCCAAAAAAGAAAATTTACTTAGCATTTAGTCTTCCAAACTTTTTATTGGTTTCTCTTTTCTATTGAACACCATATAATATATTAAATATTTCATATTTATTTAAATAAATATTAAAACCTGTAACCCTTGACTCCAATAGGAAAAACCCAAACTATGGAAGTCAATATTTAAAGATTTCAAACTTTCTTTAAAATGTCTGCTTTTGTGTTTAATAGAAGTAAGAAACCCATGAAGGTTTGAAACAAGTATGACTAAATGAGGACAGAATTTTCATTTTTAGTTAAACCATTACTTTAAACACTAGATCAGCAGGTTCAGTAAATTTCACCAGATACTGTGCACACTAAACTAACAGCAGATACAATTAAACAAACCTTTTGCCTTTTAGGAACTGACTAAACTTAATATTTAGTTTTGTCTTTTCTGAATTTTGCATTGAAAGAGCTGAAAAACAGATTTTTTTTTGTTGGTGCGCTACTGCCCCCTTCTGTACTTTCTTAATTTACTCCATCTTATTTTGTCCAGTCCAGTTTCCCTTAAAAATTCAACATTTTCTTGTTCCTCTGAACACAATTTAGCTACATTTTGACAGCACATTCTGCACTTCCTAAACTCATCATCTGAGTGACTGTGTCAACATATGCAAATGGCCTTCAAGATAATAGTACAAGTTCCACTGTCCCATATGCCATATTGACACTGAGCGCAAAATCCTGATGGGTTTTTCCCATAATAAAAAGAGTTCCATTCAAATAACTGTCCCATTATCTTTCTGCTTACAAAAATACATTTTTCCATACATGACTGTTTTTGGCGACGCAGTGGCGCAGTGGGTAGCACGTTCGCCTCACAGCAAGAAGGTCGCTGGTTCGATCCTCGGCTCAGTTGGTGTTTCTGTGTGGAGTTTGCATATTCTCCCTGCGTTTGCGTGGGTTTCCTTCGGGTACTCCGGTTTCCCCCACAGTCCAAAGACATGCGGTACAGGTAAATTGGGTTGGCTAAATTGTCCGAGTGTGTGTGTGTGTATGTGTGGATGTTTCCCACAGATGGGTTGGGGCTGGAAGGGTATCCGCTGCGTAAAAAAATTGTTGGATAAGTTGGCGGTTCATTCCGCTGTGGTGACCCCAGATTAATAAAGGGACTAAGCCAACAAGAAAATGAATGAATGAATGAATGACTGTTTTTTTTCCGTATTGATTAAGGCAGGGGTGTTCAAACTTGGTCCTGGAAGGTTAGTGTCCTGCTGAGTTTCGCTCCTACTTGCCTCAACCCACATGCTAGGAAGTTTCTAGTATATCTAGTCAGAGCTTGATTATCTGGTTCGGGTGTGTTTGATTAGGGTTGAAACTAAACTCTCCAGGACACCGGCCCTCCATGACCGAGTTTGGACACCCCTGGCTTAAAGCCTGGTTTATACTTCTGCGTCAAGTGATCGGCGTAACTCACGGCGCATGCAATGCGTGTAGCTGTTTCTGTTGGTCTGCATTAACACTTCCAAAACACTAGTTGGCAGTGAGGTGTTATTTTTCCTCTGTGTCGAGTTTCTTCGCTGGTGTTTTGTTTTTTCTGATTGCTTCCTTAATGTACAAGTGGCTCAAACTCGCTTATTTTGAGGCAGGAACTGTCGGACGTACAACAACTTTAACCATAAGGTAAACAGAAAACAAAACTTTCCATCCGGAGCTCCTTCACAGGACTCCATACTTGTAAACAATCGCTCCATCGGGCTTGCGCAGCTATCAGTCCCACCCAGACTTGTCAGAACTATTAAGCCGACCAATCACAAAGCTTGCGCTACGCATCGTTGCGACTTGTAGTTACATTTTTTGAGAGGTGCACATCAGTGACGCTGTCGGCCACGACATAGGGCTATCGATCGACACGTAGGCTGCGCCATAGCATACGCGTGCTCTTGACCCAGAAGTATAAATCAGCCTTAAGCCATGTCCAGTTTTCAAAACAAAAGTCCCACATAAGTGAAATATAATAAGAAAAGTGTATTTCTAAACTAATTTCGAGAGGATGGCATGCTTATGATTGACCACAGCTGGTCTCACATTAGCTAACACATGATTCACCAATCAGACCATTCCTAATTCACAATAAATAACCAGAGTGCCATACCTCATTTATCTTTGTCTTGAAGAATCCCCTTTTCCACCCCTATACTCCTCCCCCTTTTCCTAAATAGGGCAGCATGGCTGCCCATTGGTTAGCACTGTTGCCTCACAGCTAGAATGTCACTGGTTTAAGTCCTTAAAAGGCCAGTCACATTTCTGTGTGTAGTTTACATGCTGTCCTCGTGCTTGCGTTGGTTTTCCCTGTTTCCTGGTTTCCTTCCACGTTAAAAGACATGCGACATAAGTGAATTAACTAAACCAACATTGGCACCACAGATGAGCTCTAAATCAGCAGTGTATCTCTCCATAACAATCCCTAATTTGTTTTTAGCCATTAACAGCAGGGGAGTTCTCGAGATCTAACTGATCTCAAAACCCCCTTTTGCCCTGCAAATGGGAGGGAGCGCCAGGCTTGAGGATCTTATAAGCTCAGAGTTCTCTCCCAGGACAGCATGCTTTATAATCAATCATCAGCTAAGTGTGAACTCTTGAAACTGTTATACAAAAGATGGAGAAGAACTCATTGTAATCTGACTAGAAAATGTGGCCAATCAAATGCTATATCAGCCATATTAATGATGCCATGTGGATCGTTTCAGTGTGTTTTACTTGGCCTGTTGAAACAGGATTTTACATCAGAACTCTTATTATTCAACTATGCCTATATTCAGGTTTTCATTATACAATTGTGTAATGAAATTAAAAGGTTACATTAATGTGTTGAAAACAAATATGTAATGTAATAGTGCAATAATGTAATTGGTAAAATAGCCTAATATTTGGTCATCCTTTTTTGACAATATACTGAGGAAATTGAGCTACCTAAAATATTTACAGTAGTCCAGTAAATATTTCTCAGGGTATGTTTATTTTTGGTTTAATAAGTTTCTCATACACATCTTTCCTTTGCTTTAAATACAATTTAAATACAACAGACCTACCGTTATTGCATGGAGTGGGGGAAACACAGGGCATGCTGTCACAATTCATGAGGAATTTAGCTATTATGTAAACAATGTGAAACATGCAATGTTTTCTGATGTGCCACCTTCACTGCCCTTTGCATCTCTGGGAGAGTTACGTTGTGGATAAGCCCCAAAGAAGTGTTTCTTTTAAAATGTATACAATAAAACAATTGTTTATGAAACCAAACATTGAAATTAAAATTACAACATATTTTTCTTTGCTATTTTTTGACTTCCCTATGACATTCTATCAAAGCTAGTGATGCCCTTTTTTCCCATTTCCACCAACATTGTAACATGATGATACTACAGTTAATATGGAGGGCATCATTCACACAGAAATCAAGAGAACGAAATCAACATCAAACACAAAACAAAGCCTGAGGAAACTCATTAGTGGCATTAGACATACTTGGTTAGCCATTGAAACAACTAGTAATAATTTATAATTTTGCCTCAAATTATTCTGTTTTTGTTTCTCAACTGCTTCGAAAATATTTATAATGTTATTATTATAAAAAGTTTTAATCTCAAAGTCTTAATATCAGCTTATTTTCATTAGTAAAATAAAATCTCTTAAGCATACACTCTTCAGAAATAAAGGTACGCAACATGTAACTGGGGTGGTACCTTTTCAAAAGCTATTGTACCTAAATGGTTCATATTAATACCTCAAGGGTACATATTAATACGTAAAGGGTACAAAAGTGTTCCTCTTAAAATTTGTTAGTACTAATATATACTTTTGAGGTACCAATATGGACTCTTCAAGTACAAATGTGTACCTTTTGAAAAGGTACCACCCCACAGAACCCACTGACCGGGTGCGTACCTTTTATTTCTGAGAGTGTACAAACCAAATTGATCATTTAAAACAGTGTTTCTCAACCACTCTCCTGGAGGATCACCAACACTGCATGTTTTGGATGTCTCTTTCGTCAGTCACACCTATTACAGTCTCTGCTAATGAGCTGATAATCTAAATCAAGTGTGTTTGGTGTTGGTGACATGGAATATGTGCAGAGCTGGTGGTCGTCCAGGAATGTGCTTGAGAAACACAAATTTACAACATATTCAAACCTACACAGGTGGGTGTACAGGCATAAAATGTAATTACTTTGAATGCGTTGGAAAATGTATAATGTTACTGTAAAAAAAAATCCAAAAATAAATAAAATGTTAAACGCTTAATATCACTGTAACCTATACAAAGTCACTGGGCCTTTGCAGACGTGTCTGTTAATCTCAGGTCTCCATTTTGGTTCATTTCAGCCACTTCCGCATCTCGATGCTCAGCCCATGAGCACATAATCATCTGAACAGTCTTCAGTGCTTTTGTGCTTATGTGTGGTCTCTTGAGGGAGCTTTACAACAGCATAATCACAGTCATTGTCCTCCAGGTTTGGAATAGGTCTTTCTGGATTGATGTTAGAGTGGTTAATGGAGGCGTAGAGGACGTCTTCTGTCTGTGGGTCAAAGTGAAAACACAAAGCATGAAAGGAAATAAGTCTATTATTGGATCTATATTGCAGTCATTAAGTTGCATGAAATTCTGTCTTGTTATACTGTATAACTGGCAACAAGCGTAACTGATGCAGTGAGTAGCTTTTTACTTTTATTTTTAACTGTGAGGTTCAAATTTTTGCACGTTCGCCTCACAGCAAGAAGGTCGCTGGTTCGATCCTCGGCTCAGTTGGTGTTTCTGTGTGGAGTTTGCATGTTCTCCCTGCGTTCGTGTGGGTTTCCTCCGGGTACTCCGGTTTCCCCCACAGTCCAAAGATATGCGGTACAGGTGAATTGGGTAGGCTAAGTTGTCCGTAGTGTATGAGTGTGGATGAGTGTGTGTGTGGATGTTTCCCAGAGATGAGTTGTGGCTGGAAGGGCATCCGCTGCGTAAAAATTTGCTGGATAAGTTGGTGGTTCATTCTGCTGTGGCGACCCCGGATTAATAATAAAGGGATTAAGCCGACAAGAAAATGATTGAATGAATGAATAAATAAATAAAACTTGCTCTTTAAGTAAAATTAATTTTCAAATGTCTATAGAACAAACTAATATGAACCTTTAACTTGCTTAATAACGCTAACTTCCCCAGTTGACATATAGTAATAACCTGTTTAAGTCTTTAAAATGCACTTTAAACAGAATACGAATGTCTTACAAACATAATATGCAAAAATATCATGGCAAAGACAAAAGAAATTAGTTATTAATTAGAAATTAGATTTTAAAACTTGTTGGAAAATATGTTGAAAAAATCTCCTAGCCATTAAACAACATTTGGGAATCACAGGAGGGAGATGTACACAGTTAAGTGTCAGAATAATTAGCCCCCCTTTTTATTTATTTATTTATTTATTCATTTATTTATTTATTTATTTATTTATTCATTTATTTATTTTTTAATATTTCCCAAATTATGTTTAACAGAGCAAGGACATTTTCACAGAATGTCTGATCATATTTTTCTCTTCTGGAAAGTTTTATTTATTTTATATGGAATAGAATAAAAGCAGTTTTTAATTTTTTAAAAATCATGTTAAGGTCAATATTATTAGCCACTTTGAGCAATTTTTTTGTTTTTCTAGTCTACAGAACAAACCATCGTTATACAATAACTTGCCTAATTGCCCTATCCTGCCTAGTTAACCTAATTAACCTAGTTAGGCCTTTAAAAGTCATTAAAGCTGTAAGTGTCTTGAAAAATATCTTTTCAAATATTATTTACTGTCATCATGGCAGATACAGTAAATCAGTTATTAGAAATGAGTTATTAAAACTATTATGTTTAGAAATGTGTTGAAAAAAATCTTCTTTCTGTTAAACAGAAATTGGGGGAAAAATAAACAGGGGGGGGGGCAAATAATTTATAGGTTTTAATATTTCTGACTTCAGCTGTATATGGACACAGTGCTGCATTTATAACAAGAGATTTCAGGTTTGAAACTTACCGAATCTTAAGTTTAATAAATTGTTGTTTTTCTGTTGTTTCAGGAAGGGTTGAGCTTAATCTTTGAACATTTAATACACATTTTGCAGTAAGACTTAATTTTGATGGTCCCTATTTAACATTTTGTTTACCAACAGTTTAACTGGCTCTAAGAAATTTTGCAAGTACTGTACATGCCAACTTACACAAACCCTAACCCTAACTCCACCTAACAGTCTACTTATAAACTATTGAGAATTATTTGGCATGTAGGTGCAATGTAACTTAAATGCAACAAAATGCATTAAAGGGACCATCAAAATAAAGTGATACCCAGTTTTCTAATCATTAGTTTTACTTTTCATTACTGTTTCATTAGTATTTATTTGATAGTTTTGCATCACAAGATGCTCTTCAGTTCTGTAGCTAACTGTGACAAAACACTTCTGCCTGTTTAAAATATATATCACAGGATATACACATATACAGGGTTTGGCAAAAGAACTGAAACATCTGGTTTTAGATCACAATAACAATAAATGGTGTAGGGCCTCCTTTTGCAGCAATACAGCATCAAACCATCTTGGGATTGACATTTACAAATACTGCACAGTGGCCAGAGGGATTTTGAGCTATTCTTCTTGCAGAAAAGTGGCCATGTCCTTATGGGATATTGCTGGAGAAAAACGTTTCCTGACTCACTCCTCCAAAATACCCCAAATTTGCTAAATAATATATAGATCAGGTGACTGTCCAGGCCATGGAAGATGTTCAACTTCGTTTTCGTATTCAACAAACCAATCTGTCACCTGTCTTGCTATGTCACACCCATCACAAGTTTTGGGCCTAGGGAATGCCATGATATTGCAGCTCAAACCAGGGCCGGCCCGTGGCATAGGCAGTATAGGCAAATGTTAAGGGTGCTGTACATCCAGGGGGCGCCAGAAATGAGCGGGGGTAAGTTGGTTTTGTTTTCAATATTCCTGACACACATTCAGAGATAGATGGCAATAACTCAAAAACCTCTTACCCTAAAAAGATCTAAAGTGTGTTTCCTACAAAAAGACATTTAGCCGGGAGAGCTGAGCTCGCACGGAGTGGAGCTCTCCGTAAGGGACCGTCGGAAAAGTGCTTCTTTTTTTCGTTTTTTTTGCTTGTTTTATTTTAATCAAAACTAATTTTCTCTTAAATGAGCACAACAGTTACTAAAGTAGTCGAATGCTTCATTCATTCATTCATTCATTCATTCATTCATTCATTCATATAGATCTGTGCATTCTTACATTAACACCTCTGTTATCAAACAAAACACAATGAGAGATTCATTTGCTGCTCTTCACTAAATAACTAGTAACTTTAATCAATATGCAAATACAATAAAAGTTAAATAGATTTTATAGCTTTATTTAATTTCTGTATAGGCCATTGATTTTAATAGGTTAAACCTTTTATTTTATTGTCAATATTTTCTATTGTTTGCTATGTATTCTATTATTTGAAGCTATTTGTTGTCCCATATTTTAACATCCCAACGTTGATAGATATGACATAACATTGCTAATCATTAAATAGCTATAGTGCTATCTGTTAGTTTTACTTGAAATCTTGCCTAGGGCGCCAAATTGGTTAGGGCCTGGCCTGGCTCAAACCATCACTGACCCACCCCCATGCTTCATTCTGGGCATGCAACAGTCTGAGTGATTTGCTTCTTTGGGGCGTCTTCACACTCTTACTCTCCCAGATGTGAAGAAGACGGAATGATCAGCGAACAATACATGTTTCACATTGTTCACAGCCCAAGATTTTTGCTGCTGGCACCATTTAAACCAACATGTGACATTGGCAGGAGTGACCAAAGGTTTGGCTAAAGCAGCCTACCATGTACATTCCTGTGGAGCTCACAACAAACAGTTTTGGTGGAAACAGGAGAGCTGAGGTGCACTTTTAATTCTGTAGTAAATATATTTAGTTTTACAACTAGAAAATGAGAAAACTGAATACAAATATTTAACTACCCATAGGTCTAGATGTTAAAAATGCATGTAGTGCAGAAACATTTAAAAAATGTGTGTAATGTGCAACTATAAATGGAAACAATTAAACAATGCAATGCCTGGTGAAAAATGTAAATAGTGTAATAACATTGCAAGAATTTGCATATAAAACATTTTAGTACAGCATAGTATTGTGATTTTTGTGGTGATACTATATTGATACATAAAAGAACCTATCAATATATTATCCACATTTTATTTGCTTAAATAAAATAAAATTGGATGGGCTGCTGTTCTCATTCCCCGAGGATGCCAGCCCACTGGTAGTATTAGTTGACTTTAACGTTGACTTCAGAATTTCTATTCTCTAATTTCATTATTCAACCTCAGTTGGCTTACCATTAAAAGCACACATGAATCTGGCAATCAACTGGACCTTATCTGCACAAGCCATTGCGCTTCTGATAAAGCCACAGGTAAACCATTGCATACTTCAGAGCACATCTGCATTACTTTTGACTCGCTGCTACCCACAACCACACTGCCTCTTTTAGATGCCATCTGCACTCTCTGTCCTCCAAACACTTCTCCTCCACTGTTACACCCTCTCTTCTCTCACACACCCGCTTTTCACTTCTTGAAATGCTCTGTTCCACTTTAACATTTAACATTAAGATCAGCGCTCTTCTCCCTCTAACCCCCGGCTCTCCAATGTTCTGAAAAAATAGCAGACAGCATTTAGGGCAACAGAGAGCATGGTGCAAACCAAAAGCCCTGACTGACCTTGGCAGCTATCAAGCCCTACTGGCACGATTTTCCTCCTATCTTCATTAGGCCAAAACCCTCCAGTATACAAACATAACAAAATCAACAACACCTCAGACACCCACAAACTATTTAGGACGTTTAATTTCCTGCTCAAAAACCATCACTCAACACCTCAAGAGTTGATCATTACTGACTGTTCTCTCTCCTTCCTTTTAGTGCCCAAACATTAGGTATGGTTGTTTTCATCCAAACGTCTACATTTTTAACACACTTTATCCTGCTGGATGCAAACCAGCTCCAAATGTGGACATTCCATTGAGACCACACTACTTTCAACCACTGAAGATTGTGGATTGCCAAATCATATATTCTGCTTTTTTTACTGGACCTGTCTGCAGCTTTTGATAAAGTAAATCACCGAATTATTGTCCTCAATAGGCATCAATGTAACCCCACCCCTACCTCACTGGCAGATCATTTATATTAACCTGGAAAGGAGAGGTTTCCAAAGCTTATCAGCTGGTCACTGGAGTACCTCAAGGATCTGTTCTTGGTCCTCTTCTATTTTCTATTTTCACCACATCATTAAGAACCACCATCTAGTCACATGGTTTCTCATAGACTTGTTATGCCAATGACATGCAGCTCTATCTTTTTTACCCAACCATAGCTGCAAGGATCTCGCACTACCTGATGATGATGATGATGAAGTCTTTATTTGTCACATACACTTTTACATGTAGTGTAAAAGTGCCATGCACAAACATCACACATT